ATCACCTATCCAACCATCCATCCATGATCCAACCATCCATCCATGATCCAACCATCCATCCATGATCCAACCATCCATCACTCACCCAAAGAAACAACCCTCCATCCATCATCCAACCAACATTCATGGAACCAACCATCCATCCATCCATCCATCCATCCATCCTCTAAAGGTGCCAATTATAGTACAGACAGATAAACAAATCTAATTTTTTATATTCAGAGTACCTGGGTGGAATGCAGCAGTAGAACATGCAGCCTTGCAGCGCTATCAGTGCACACAGCTCAATAACATTCTGCAGCACTGAAAACTAAAAAAGTTTTAAACAGGATCTGCCAAGCAGACCAGGAAGCTAAGAGCCTCTGTCTAGGCTCACCTCCGCCTGCCATGCCAGCGCCGTGGCGTTTAGTGCAGAGATGCGTCCAGCTCCAAGAACCGCAATCGTTTCTCCGTCATCGTCCACCACCTTGAAGTCCAGGTCTTCGTTATACTTCCTCCTTTTGACTTGTCGTCCTGAACGGCGCTTCTGAGAACAAAAGTAAAAATATGGGTTCAGTATGGAGGGTAAAAAGTACCAAGTTCTGGGAAAACTGCAGACGGAAACCAGGGAAGCAGAGAGATTGTGTCTAATTATTACAGTACTTCTGAATTTTTTTCTTTTAATGAAGAGATCCAGCTATTTGACAGGTTTTAGCTCATCTAAATAAAAGATAAAACATCCTGCATCGGGCCTGTCTGCAGTGTGCTGCGGGGGGGATTGGAGCGCTTCCTTGCTTCACAGTTTGACGTCTTACACATCAGCTGGTTAACATTTCCCTGCATCCATTCTTACCACAGCGGAACGGAACGCTGCGTGACTCGGATCCGCCATCCTGAGAATCTCCACTGATGAGGTTTCATGCAGCTTCAGCCTCCAGGAGAGCCAATCTCTCTCTGAACTACGTCTTTTTATTCCCCCTGCTACATCTTTGCTGCTTCTTCGTGACACAACCTTCATCTGGTTGAGCGGATACTCTGCTGTGATTGGTCAGGATTTAGTTCAGTGTAGTGAAGTTGGAAAAGCGGAGAAGCCTTACGTATGTGTGGAACGTGGCGCTTTAGTTGTTAGTAAGTGAAATTATCTACCAATTAAGTGCGTTTTTTGTCCTCTGAAATACTGTAATTAATTTATAAAGATCATTTGAAATAAGGTAACGCAGGCATCTTATTCCATTCCATAACTTGCTTTAATCGAGCATCTATGAGGGGTTTTATGTTCTGGTTTGTTGATGACTGGAGCCTCTGAGGCGGTGATTAATGTGGAGCAACGATTGGTCGGTTTAAATGCTTCCTCTTTAAATCCATTCACTACTTTGATTGCTTTTATTTGAAATTATTTTAGCTGTACTCACACCGCTAATTTTAAGATTCCATCCAACTTCACAGAAGTAATGTCATATTTTTGGTTATTTAAAATAGTATTTAAATTAATTTAATGTAATTTAATAAAATTAATTTAAGTTTGTTTTTTAGGAGATTACAGTTATATCTTACAAAATACTTATTTGTTCAAATGTTCTGTCTACTTTTAAGATCTCTATAGCGACCGCTTCCAGCGGGATGCGCCTGAGGCAGACTGAACCTCCTGCAGCCCACAGTGCAGCGATTTTAAAGATCTTTTCTGAGCAACCCGTTTTTTCAAATGCTGCTCGTTTAAGCTCCGCCTACTCACGGCATTGTCCAGGGGGTCCTGGCTGTCGTCCCCTCCCATGTTGGCGGCCGACGCTGAGGCATCGTCGCCGCTCTCCGCTCCCTCCTGTACAGCCGCCTCCTGGTTTCTTCTCTTCCCTTTCTTCTTCTTCTCCACCGGCGCAGCACCGGGGTCTCTGTAAAGGGACAGAAGTTAGACACGACTGTGGCGGCGGGATCCTCTCACCCAATCAGCATCCAGCAAACTAACACAGAAGGTTAAAACAGAGCGCAGATCTAAAGATTCAGGCTGTTTTCAGAGATCTGATCAGGCAGACACCCTGTCTACTTTTAAGGCTTAAAACTTTACTTTTTGATAAAGCTTCTAGTTAGAGTGGCTCAGGTTATCCTGAGCTATCTCTATAGTTATGATGCTATAGGCTTAGACTGCTGGAGGACATAGGGACCCCCTTTTTCATTATTCTGCTTCATTGTATCTCTATTCTCCCACTTTGCAGAATCTGTTAATTCAATCTCTAACGTTCTGCTCTCTCTGCTTTTTCTCATAGTAGCTTCATCTGGTCTGTTCCTGTTTGGCTGTGACTCCATCCTGGAG